GTGTGTGTGTGTGTGTGTGTGTGTGTGTGTGTGTGTGTGTGTGTGTGTGTGTGTGTGTGTGTGTGTGTGTGTGTGTGTGTGTGTGTGTGTGTGTGTGTGTGTGTGTGTGTGTGTGTGTGTGTGTGTGTGTGTGTGTGTGTGAAGAAGGAGTCTGCTGTGTGTTTCAGAGACATGTACAAACTCATTTCTGTTTCCTTGGAAACTCCCCCATTCAGAGTTTCACAGCTTGACAGAGTCCTGCATGTGGGTGCGTGGACACGTGTGCATGGACTCTCCGTGTGTAATAACCATGTGAACTTGTGAATGCATGTGTGTATGTGATCATTGCATGGCTAGGTGTCTGTGATCTGTGTGCCGAGGGGCGTGTGATCTCTTGACTGCAGGAAGGTGTGTGTGATCTGTGTGCCGAGGGGTGTGTGATCTCTTGACTGCAGGAAGGTGTGTGTGATCTGTGTGCCGAGGGGCGTGTGATCTCTTGACTGCAGGAAGGTGTGTGTGATATCTGTGTGCCGGGGTGTTTGGGGGACAGGGGAGAATATGTGTGCAGATGATCCAGAAGCGGAGAGTCAGATGGGGCTTAGCCCAGTTCTCTACTGACTCTGGAAGGCCAAGTCAGCTGTAGGCTGAGCCTGTCCCCTCTGGAGCCTCTTCTGGGAGACTCTTACCTGACTGTCTGAGTGCCGAAGGGGGCACCTGTAAAGCCCTTTGCTGCCATTCTCTGCTCCCTGGGGATGGAGGGAGCCCCCCCTCTCCCCCCGCCCCCAGTGGCACAGCTTCCAGCAGCTCCGGAACACTGCTGCCATGGCAACCCCATACACTTGTTGCCTTTCTGTTCCTATGAAGGCGGAGCTTCCAGGCAAACCATTGCACGGGGGGGCCTCTGGCTCCAAGCCTCTGTACCTGTTACAGCTCAGTTTTAGGCCCTGCCAGGGTTGGGGAGAGGAATGCAGCCGTTTTGAGCTTGCTGTTTGATCCTTGGTTAGTTTTGATGCATTACATTTTATCAGATGTGGCTCGGCAAGCAGACATGCCCCTTGCCTGGACTTGCACAGGCTTGGCGAGTAGATGTGCCCCTTGCCCGGATGTGAATCGTCTCAGCGAGCAGACGTGCCCCTTGCCTGGACTTGCACAGGCTTGGCGAGCAGACGTGCCCCTTGTCCGGACATGCACGGGCTCAGCGAAGTAGATCGTGCCCCTTGCCTGGACTTGCACGGGCTTGGCGAGCAGACGTGCCCCTTGTCCGGACATGCATGGGCTCGGCGAGTAGACGTGCCCCTTGCCTGGACTTGCACGGGCTTGGCGAGTAGACGTGCCACTAGCCCGGATGCGCATCGGCTTGGCAAGTAGACATGCCCCTTGCCCGGACGTTCGCGGGCTCGGTGAGCAGACATGCCCCTTGCCCAGTCATGCACAGGCTCGGTGAGCAGATGTGCCTCTTGCCTGGATGTGCACGGGGTT